TTAGGGATTAGGGGTTAAGGTTTAGGGACTAGGGTTTGGGCTTAGGAGGGTATAAAGGAATCTGCTATATGGGAAATACGTGGGGACTGTCTTCCCTAATTCCCTACTTGGCACCAATAAGTTTCTGAGTAGGCTCAGGGTGTGTATGGGATGCTACGGCCTCTTGGGGCTTCAGGGCTTTTCAGCTGTGGGTCGAAAAGCTTCGGGCTCAGGATGTTAAGCTCATGCAGTTTTGGGCTTAGGTTTTCGAATCTGAAGTTTCGGGGCCCCTACAACCCTACTGCTGAGCCATTCTTGGGTCGCCCCCTGAGATGTGTCTCTGACAAGTTCCTCAAAGGTCATGTCTTAGGGTTTAGGCATTAGGCCTCAGGGTTTGGGGTGCTATAGAACCCGATGCGGACCCCTTATTCGCTGACGGATTTTTCAATGGGATCCCACATCCAGAACCCCAAAATCAAAGCTCAAGGGAACAGAGTAAGTATACCTACATCCCTATCGCCCATACAGTGACACCGGTTATCCCTAGCGTGCACCTACTGGCCCTCCAAGTGGACCCCGCTCGTCCTGCAGGCGCTCATGTGGAAGCGGTTTTGGGTTCAGGGCTTAATGAATTTTAGGATCTAGGTTGGGCAGATTTAATGATTTGGGAGTTTCTCAAAATGGGGAACCCTATTGGACCCAGGGGATATACAGGGGCTCAAGGGGAATTCTGGAACTCTTTCGAGAAGTACCCATTTAGGATTGAGGGATCGGAGGTCCCTTCTAGGGCTACTAAAATAAAGATGATCGTTTTTGGGGGGTGAAGGGGCTGGGACCCCCATTATTGCAAACTCAAAACATAAGTGCAATTTGAGCTGGGGAAGAAAAGGTGACGACGGACACGTTGACCACATGGTCTACGGTGGGTTTGGGAGCCCTGAAAAATCACATCATCATGGCTTTGTAAGGATTATCTAGGGATTGAGGGTAGTAGACGTTGACAAATATTTCCAAGCCTACGACTATGACGTCGACCATGCAGGAGACTTTATGCAGGATAGTGGTCTGCATCCTTGGTGATTGGTGCGTGGGGAAGTCTAACGGTGCAGAGTCTGAAGCAATCTGGAATGCTCCCCCCTACGCTGAGATCCTCTCAAAAAATCTCCTGGCAACTTGATAACTTGCGCTTGCGAATTTAGCCTGGCCCTAAACCGCCAAATCGTCTTCCCTGGAGAAGCATGCTCCCAAGCAACAGCTACTACCCAGTTGAATCGCGATACATGCCACCACCTGCAGGCTACAGGAAATGAGGGTGTGGGATTCAGGATTCAGGGCTTCTACACGCACATTGCAAACCCTAAACCCTGGGTTCTTATGCACAGCATACCAAGGCTCAAAGGAAGAAACCCCCAACCCCCGACTCCATAACCCCCAAACCTTAAGCACTCACCTTATGCCCAGGATGTTCTCTGGGATCTTCGGATGTGGGCCAACACCCTTTGAGCTATAGTCAATATTTCCCATACTATTAGCAGAAAGTCAAACGTAACAGAACATGGAAAATGAAATGGGAAACGAGCTGCCGTTTTGCCGCATAATTAGTGGACATGGGTTCCTTATTAGAGAATATACTAGGGACTGTACCAAACTATCAAAGGGACCCTATGTCCAAGCGTTTATGGCCCCTTGGCAAGCCTAATATGCACAGCAGCTCATATGCCAAACACTACAACTCCCGCATGTACTCAAAACTACAACAGATCAAGGCCAGGTGGGGCATCGCTTAGGACTGTTTAGGACTATGGTGCTGCATGCAGAATTGCACTGTGGCCCTTGAAAGGCTGGTGCATGTTACCCCAAAGGGGTCTACACAAGGTCTCATGTCTAAAGCCTACACGGTACAGCATTTTGGAAACTCCCAATCGGATCGCACCTGATTACGCTGGTGACGGCTCGCATGTCCTGGATGTTGTCCACACCTCCTGGCATTGAAGAACTCTGCTAAACCCTAAACCCTAAACCCCTATCAACGCCAGCTCTGAGCTCTATACACCCCCCATGCCCCCCAAATCCCTCAACCCTAAACCCCCAGCATATCCCTAGTTAGGAGTACACCCCAGAATACAAGTATAGACTTTTAGGTATAAGTTGTTATACTAAGGAGAACCCAGGAACCAAAAAAGCATGAAAGTGTGGGTTAGGTCACAATTTCAAAAGATCGCGTACACCCTATGTTGTCCCCATGTGGGCGCGTCGCAAAAATGGGGTGCTCCTACGGGGATTGTAGGGGATTGTGCGTTTCAGGGTCTCGGGGCTACACCCGTGTCTAACGCCCCGAAAAAAAAGCTGAAGCACAACAACGCACAGCAAGTGGCCTCAGCCGTAGCCCCTGTCTGTACCCTCATCCGCGAAACCCCGACGCCCATCCTTCACTGAAGCCTTTGCAATCCCTACGACCCCCAACCGCAAACCCTACATCCCTCGACCCTGTAAACCCTAAACCCATCCTAGACCCTGCGCTCCCTGAGCCCTGCTTTATCCCTAAATCCTAAGCTCTAAATACTAATTCCTAAACCCTAAGTCCTAAACCCTAAAGTCTAAATTCCTGGACCCTAAACCCTGAACATCTCCTGGCCTTGTGAAGGCTGATCTTGCTGGTCCAACCTGAAGTCATCCACGACCTCTGAGACGAGCCTGTCTGTAGACGTGCTGAGGCAGGATATAGAGGGTTTAATGTTTAAGGATTGGGGTTTGGGGTTTGGGAATTGCGTAGGGCTTAGGGTTTAAGGATTAGGGTCTAAGGTTCAGGGTTTAGGGATATAGGGTTTAAGGATTAGGGGTTAGAGTTCATGGTATCATGGTTTAGGGACCCCAAGAAATGAAGGGACTCTACGTAGAGGATTGTGGGGCTCCCTACAGGGAGTCTATAGGGCATTGCACTGTGAAACTCAGGATACAGTTGGAGGCAGTTATGCACTACCTTGCGACCCTAGACTACTGCAATTCCTAGGGTTTAGGGTTTACAGTCCCCTTTACGTAGACAGAATATGGCTTTGGATATATTCTAATAAAATCCCCATGTACCCCATATTCTATCGACTTAAGGGGGACTATAGGGTCTAGGACGTTAAGTTAGGTAGTGCAAGGTTGCCTCACTCACACCATGGCGCTTTACAAGGACAACCAAAAGAATCCATTCCCTCATTTGAGCCATAGTCTAAACTCCTCGTATCCCTGAAGCCAGCCCCGTAATACTCCACTAGATAATTCCCTATATGGGGGGGTGTTCTGAAGGTCCTTGCAAAGAAGGGACCATTGGGAATACACTTCCTCAAAAGGGGATCCTAACCAAACAGGGACCTGGGAACCTACATTATGGCCATTTTGCGGACAGGTATTCTTAACAACTACCATATAAGCCCCTCTACGGAGTTTAGACTATAGCTAATTTAACAACAAGCACCACGCAAATCAGGGTTCAGGGTCAACCCTCCTGCAAACCAGCATGGAACACCATATAGGCCCCCTCTTGTTAAAAGGACAGCAGTCTACAACGGCCCTTTAAGGTTCCATGTCAGCTTGGGGAGATCAAGCAGTGTTGGGTGGGGGCTGCAGTTTGGATTTCGTCGCTGGCGTAGGGTCTCGCGATGCAGGGATTGGGAGTTTTGAGGCCTAGGGTGTACCGAACCCATGGGCAGCTCTTGTAACGCTGGAAGGTTGGGATTCCTAAGATTTTGCTGACCTTTATGGTTTTGGGTTTTGGGGTTTTAGGGTTTAGGGATAAACTTGGAGGCCATGCATACACACAGAAACAAAAGGCTCGTATCCGCGTCATGAAGAGTTGGGGGTCTTCTCTAGGAAGACCCCATAAACATATACACATGTGTGCATGGATGTATCTATCATACACAACCCTTGCTTCCCAAAGCTGCATCTTAAACTCAGGTTACGCAGAAGCCGTTATTTCTCTAAACCCCAAACCCTAAAGCCTGGAGCTTCAGCCTAGGAACTGAGGAAGTGGTTGATGAGTCAGCCGCTGCATGTCGCGAGTTCTGGGCAACATAGGCAAGAAAGCATGCTGCAAAGTGAAGCTTTTGCATAGGGTTTAGCTTGCAGGCAAGTTCAAGGCTTGGGGTGGATTTAGGGACGATTGAAGAGAGGGACCCCAAAACGTGCGGCAACAATTTTGGCATCCTACCATATGTGCTGGCTGATCTGATCTTCGGTAAGCCTCACAGGTAGAGAAAAGGAACCCAGATAGTTAGGCTAGGGCGTTGGAGCTTGATACATGCAAATGTAAACACTGCATAAAACCAACTGAATCCACCCCAAGCCTTGAACATGTTTTACTGCTACTACTACTCCTCCTCCTCTTCCTCCTCCTACTACTACTACTACTGCTGCTGCTACTGCTACTACTACTACTACTACTACTACTTCTACTTCTACGACTACGACGACCACGACCACGATCACGAATGGCCATTGCTGATTGCTATGAGTACTTTCGCATCCTCCTCCTCCTTCTCCTCCTCCTGCAGCTGCATAATAGGATAATAGAATGCCCATATACCGCAGATTCTATCTACCTAAGGGACTGTAAACCTCTAGAAGGCAAACAACAGCTCGGGCCCCCGCCGCGTGTCGACGACCGTGAAGCCCGTACTCAAATCCTGGGGAGCAGTCTCGATACAGGGTTATTCTGTGATAACCTTAGACCTATCATAAGTTGTTGATTGTCAGGAGTTCCTGAGCGGCATACTACACAAAAACATTTTCAAAAATCCTACAGGCATTGCTGACGAAAAGTTTAAAGTTGAGGGCTTGAGGACGCGAGATAGCTGTTGGTTTTCCGACCGTCTGCCAAGTCTGTTCACCTCCTGACCACTTGAGAGTAACACATGCTTTGTAGGGAGCATCATGAGCACAGGTGATAAGCACGTGATCGAACCGCAACCTGCAGCAACTGTGCGAACCCTGCATGGCATTCAGGATTTTCGCGCCAGAAAACTCTAGCGACTCTAGTCTGCTGCTATGATCCTACGAGTCTTTGCTCTCAGCAACTGTGCAATCTCTCCGTGGCCGTTGGAGACTGCATGCCCAAAAGGCGTGACGCCAAACTGATCCTGTGCGTCTTTGTCGGCACCAGCTTGCAACAGCAGCCGTGCAACCCCTACGTGACCATGTCTGGCTGCATGCATGAGAGCTGTGTAGCTGTCGTTGTCCCTCATGTCAACGGCAGCACCAGCTTGCAGTATCAACTGCACCATGTCCTCCTGACCGCTCTTAGCTGCGCCCATGAGAGCCGTGACGCTGGTGCTGCCTTGCAAGTCCTTGTCGGCACCAGCTTCCGCCAGCAACCGCGCAGTCTCGAAATTGCCACGCCTTTCTGCATGAATGAGCGCTGTGTAGCCCAAAGAATCCTGAAAGTCCTTGTTGGTGCCAGATTCCAGCAGCAACTTTGCAATGTGTACATGGCCATCTGCTGCTGCGAACATGAGAGCTGTGCGGCCGTCTTTGTCACGCATGTCAACGGCAGCACCAGCTTGCAGCAACAACTGCGTAATCTCCTTGTGACCGCTCTCAGCTGCACCCATGAGAGCTGTGACACCGGTGTTGCCCTGCAAGTTCTTGTTGGCACCAGCTTCCAGCAGCAACCGTGCGATCTCTGTATGGCCATATCTGACTGCCAGCCTGAGACCTGCGTGACCGACTGTAGTCTGCAAGTCCTTGCCAGCACCGGCTTCCAGCAGCAACCGGGCAATCTCGAAATTGCCATCTCTAGCTGCATGCATGAGAGCTGTGTAGCCGCCAACATCCTGCAAGTCCTTGTCGGCGCCAGCTTCCAGCAGCAACTTTACAATGCTTACGTGGCTATTTTTTGCTGCGAGCATGAGAGCTGTGTTTCCGTCTTGGCCCTTCCAATTCTTTTTGACTCCAGATTCCAGCAGCAACTTCGCAATCTCTGCTTGACCCTTCTTGACTGCAAGCATGAGGGGCGTGTAGCCAAGGCTACCGGACGGGAATTCTTTGTAGGCGCCAGCTTCCAGCAGCAACCGCGCAACTTCTTGGTTGCCCACCAGACAGGCCCCCGTGAGCTCGATGCTCGCTTCAATTTTCTGCCTGGCTGTGGAAAGGGACAGAAGGACTAGTTGCAAGTCGTTGGGTGCATGCAGCTGGGCGGAATCGTCCAAGCTGTTGCCCTCGTGAAGCAGCTGTTGCATGCAGAACGGAAAGCCATGCTGCACGCGCAATAACGACTTCAAGTCCCGCACAGTACGGACAGTATGGAGCTCCTTCACGCGAAGCTCCTGCCCTGAAATGCGCCAGACACGGAGCACCCCGGCATGAAGGCCACTTGGCCAACCGGAAAGTGGTAGTGGGCCATGGCGAGTAGGTCTTTGCATGGGTGTGTTGCCAAAAGGTTTAGGGTTTAGGTTTTTAACCTCAACATAAGATGAACCTTCCGCACAAAGGAAATTTGTGCTAGATGGATGTGCAGATCAGCTTCGTGCAGGAGGTTCTCCTAAAAGCTCAAAGGCCTCTTGTTTGTAAAGCAATCTAGCTCTGCTTTCTGATGTCCAACCCGGAACCCCAAAGCCCGTGAACCTCAGCCCTAAAGCCCAAAACCCCAAAACCGTGAACCCCAAACCCCTGAACCCTAAACACTGAACTCCAAACTCCATGAAACGGCACAGCACAAACCTGGAGCCTCCTACCATGCTAGAGCCTTTCATCAATTGCGGCTTCAGATTGACATTTTTAGGGTTTAGGGTTTCAGGATTTAGGGTTTAGTTTAGGGTTTAGGGTTTGGAGCTTCTCCTGCGCAAGTTTGGATTATCAATCCTTAGCTGTCCTCAGGACCTGGGTATCAAGCCTAATCATAGCTCTGCTTAGCACGCAAAGGCATAAACTCTTCCTGTATGATGGGATTCCTCACCCCAAAGCTACCCGAATTCATTTCAAACGGAATTCAACTGGTGCCTGAGAACCCCAAATCCTAAACTCTAAACCGCTCAGGGTAGAGTTGAAGGCGATCCCTACGGAGACCCCTAATATAACCCTATTATAACCCCTATATAACCCTAATATAACCCCAATATACTGTAGTAGTTTCCATTTTCGTTTCCATTATTAAAAGCCCTGAATCCTTTGCCTTGATTCCCCTTTTCCCAAAGGGTCCAAAGTACCTACATGGTACAAAGTATGGTTTCTGTAATAGTAATTTCCCTTATGGTTTGGGTAAGTATTCCCCATATGGGTACTTAGGACCCTTTGGGTTTCAAAACTGGGGTTGCTGTTCAGGAACTTATGTTACCATAGTATGGGTTAATATAGTAAAGCTATTTATAGTAACTTGAGTTAAGTTCCTTAACCGCAACCCAATTTTCCTAAATTCCTGAGCCCTAAACCCTAAGCCCGTCGAGCCCAAATCATCCCTAAGCTTATCAAAATGGGGCGGCGCGATGCTTAGTAGAACTCGTCGGGCCTCACGATGCTTTTTCAACTTTAAGAACAAGAACGTGTTCAGAGGATGTATGCTACAGGGTCTGTATATAATATATGTAGGTCTTGTAGGGTTCGGTGGGACTCACAAAGGCTTGTTCGTAGTGATCTCCTCCAACCATGAGGTTACGTGCTCCTAAGGGACCAATGGGACCAAGTAACCAATCATCACACACTTCCCCAAAACCCATACCACAACTACAATTGCCCTAAACCCAACTACCTAATTATTGAGTACTTGGACCCTCTGGGGTTTTTAACACCCTTCTGATCCCTGCGCCGGACGAATTATACATCGGGAAAAATGTCTTATTGGCGAGTTGGGCGTTCATGTCTGAGCTTCGTCAACACAAGTCTAATCCCCTCCTCCTACTATTAAAGCCCCCTGGGACGGGCGCACATTGCCAGTCTATTATTACAGTATATCCCAACGGGAGTTTTTAATATCATGGTGGAGGCTTTGATATTCGAGGAGGGGACTAAGTTACCTTACTGCAGGAACATGCCAGTATGAAGAGCTAAGAGATGCAAAAGTCATCCCTTTCGGAAGTGTTTCTACAGCTCTACTACTTTGGTGTCTATATTGGGGCCCCAAATTGTTGTACCTCACGTGAACTGCAAACCCCTTTCAACTCCTGGGCACTAGTGGCGGAGTGCTTCTTTGTCTGAGTTTTTTGGGCGGCTCCCTGTATCAAGGCTGATGTTACTTAGGGGGAACCTTAAACACTAAACCCTAAACCTCAACCCAAAACTTCTTCAAAAGAGGGCCCCTACCCCGAGAAGTACCCAGCGGCTGCAGCACCCTAGTGACCCTAATCATGGGAAATAGTAACCGACACCCCTCCAAAAGTAAAATAGAAATTAGGTTGTATTTGGGGGCTTGAAAGGATGGCAGAGGTTTCTTCTAAGATCTCAAGATCTTTGAAGTTTGAGCAGGTTCTTGAGACTATAGATACTAGACATTGAACAACATGTTGAAGAAGCTTACAGGCTAGTAATGATCTTTAATAGGAGGGTGGGGTGTCCTTATTAGGGTTCAGGGCTTAGGGCTTATAACTTTGTGAGGGGAAGGGGGCTCCTCAAGCAAGGGAGGGCAATTAGACAAACTGAAGGCAGCAGTGGTTGCGTCATGGCTTCCCCAGCTTCTTTCCCCTATACTAACCCCCCAAGCTTCCCCGTTAATGAAGGTTAGTGAAGGATAACCCGCCCCCAAGTTAGGTTACCCTAGAAGCCCAGTTACCTATCTATTGGGTTCATGTCCTTGGGTCCCTATATAGACTTATACGATCAATAGCCCAAGAACCTACTATATGGGTACCTGGGCTTCTAGGGTTAGTTGGCTGTAAACCCAGGAGGGCAGGGGTAGTATGTTGCCGGGGGTTGGGGGGGCACAGGAGAGAACCCAGGATGTCACTGCATAATCTCCATGGAGAATGTTTTGATGGTTGAAACAAGCTTATGAAATATTATAGCAGGAGGAGCATAGAATCTTTTCAAACTTGAGGACTATAGTATGCCTATACCCCAAACCCTAAGCCCTAAACGCTAAACTGCAAAAGCCTTCGGGGGCTTCTCAAATTCTCTCTACCTAAAGCTCCCAGATAATACCTTTAGAGTTTGGGGTTTAGGGTTTAGGGCTTTGCGTGGTGTACTGTGATCCCCCCACCCGAAATCATGACTACCCTAAACAGGAACTTCGTAGAAAACCCTTTGTATAGAACCCCAAAGAGACACGTGATGAGACTTTCCAGCTTCGCAATCACTCCACTCGGTGCCTGTAGCAGACTGCAAACTTCAGCGCAGCGCAGTTTATGTGAGGGCTTCCAAAAGGTGAGGACCTACTCATGCAACATAGTCGTGGTTGGCATCAGCTTGAGGGAGCAACCGCGCAATCTCCGCGTGGCCATTTCTAGCTGCTCGGGCAGCAGCTGTGAAGCCATCGGTACCCTGCAAGCCTATGTTAGCACCAGCTTCCAGCAGCAATCGTGTCATATCTGCGTGGCCATCTCCAGCGGCCAGCATGAGAGCCGTGTAGCCGTTGCCATCCTGAATGTCCTTGTCAGCACCAGCTGCCAGCAACAACCGTGCGATCTCCATACGGCCACCTCTAGCTGCAAGCATGAGGGCGGTGCAGCCATCATTATCATTCAAGTTCTTGTGGGCACCAACTTCTAGCAGCAACTCCGTCATCTGTACGTGCCCTGTGCTAGCTGCCAGCATGAGAGCTGTGCAGCCTTCGCAATCCTGAATGTTGATGTCAGCGCCGGCTTCAAACAGCGAACGTGCAATTTTCATGGAGTCAGTGTAAACAGCATACATGAGAGCTGTTTTTCCGCAGTGATCCTGAAAGTCTTTGCCGGCACCGTGTTGCAACAGCAAGGCTGCAATCTCCACGTTCTCGCGGTCAGCAGCGTAGATAAGAGCTGTCCAGCCCATGTCGTCCTGCAGATCATTGTCGGCACCAGCTTGCCTCAGCACCTGCGCAACCTCCACATGGCCATGTCTTGCTGCAAGCATGAGGGCTGTCCAGCCATCATGGGCCTGCAAGTCCATGTCACAACCAGCTTCCAGCAACAACTGTGCAATCACAACATGTCCATTTCTTGCTGCCATCATGAGGGCTGTGTAGCTGTCGTCACCCCGGGAATTTTTGTCGGCACCAGCTTCCAGCAGCAGCTGCGTCGTCTCTGCGTGGCCATTTCCAGCTGCCAGCAGGAGAGGCGCGTAGCCGCAGAAATCCTTCACGTTCTTGTCAGCACCAGCTTCCAGCAGCAATCGTGTAATCTCCACATGACCATTTCTAGCTGCAAATATAAGAGCTGTGCAGCGATTTTTGTCCTGCAAATTCTTGTTGGCACCAGCTTCCAGCAGGAACTGCGTGATCTGCAGGTGTCCATTTCTAGCTGCCTTTATGAGAGCCGTGGAGCGACTCCGATGATCCTTAAAATCCTGGGTTGCTGCTAAGGAGCCTAAATTAAGTTACTTTAGTAGGGAAATTCCGATGATTTTCTGTATACCCATAGTATGAAAACTTGATTTTAATTTCCTTAACAGCAGCCCGGAATCCTTCTCAGCACCGGCTTCCAACAGCAACTTGCAAGCTTCTAGGATGCCCTCCTCGCAAGCATGGAGAAGCTCCTGATTTTGTCCTAGAAACTCTTTGGGCCTCCACTACCTGCTGCCCCGCTTATTGAGGCCCATGTTCCTTGTTTATTTGAGTCTA